CTGATGATGTATCTAATTCTTACCAATCATCGGCACAGAATGGTCTTCTTGTGGTTACATGTAGAGTGTGTCAATCTGTAATAGATATTTCTGGCAAAAGAGATCAACATGTTGTCAAGTGTATGGTCTGCTTGGAAGCTACAGTATGAACCTATAAATATATTTTTATTATAAATAACATTATATAATATTAAAGTACAAAATAGTATTTAAAAAAAAATTTTTTTTAAAACTAATTTTAAGCTGCCATTTTTCCTCGTTCTATTGTGAAATATAATTGATTGAATTAATTTTTTTTGCAGCCAATTAGGAAAGCTCCACCTGGGAAAAAGTATGTAAGATGTCCTTGCAATTGCCTGTTAATTTGCAAGAATTCTTCGCAGAGAATCGCTTGCCCGAGAGCTAATTGTAAAAGAGTTATTACTTTGGTACAAAGCCCTCTTACGCCACCGGCTCACACCATGCCTGGAATGGTTACTGTGGTTAATGGAACTGTGCCAAATAATTTTGAGGAAACTAACGAAACAGGTAAATTTTTTTATATAAATACTTGTAAGTTTAAAATTTTTCTAAATCATAGTTTTTTGTTTTTATTTATAGCCAATGGCTAAATTTTTTTATTTTAAACAATGCCTTCGACAAATTCTTTTGTACTTAGGCTGGTTAATTTTTTGATGTCAAAAAATAATAATAATTTCTTTTAACTATTATAAATTACAATCAACATCCCGAGTAATGTAAGAGTTTCAATTTTAAAAAAAATTATTCAGTATTATTATTTTTAAATAAATTATTCAGAAAATTTTGGTCAAATTCGAAATAATTTTTATTTTTACTTTTGATGATTAATCCTCTTTAACGTAGAAAAACTTATAATTAAATTATTTAAAAAAAAAAAAAATTTTTTTTTTTTTTTTTTTTCCGTAAAATTTAATTATTTATAGTTAATAATTTTTTATATAAGAATTATAAGAATGTGTGTGTTCAAGAAAATAGTACTGAAATGACAGATTGGAATAAAA